TTCAGCCCAGCTTGACTTACACACTGATCATTCAATGGCAAGCTGTGCATTAGTATCTTTATCACTATACCTGAGTGGACAAACTTTCTTGCCCTCAAGCTGCATCCACCACCCAATCTGCTCTCCCTTGATGATGTGATATGGCTTTTCCCAGCATGCAATTTGCCAGGAAGACAGAAACTTTTCTTTTGGTCTGGATAATCTTATGCAAATGCTTTTTCCTGTTAGCTTCTTTTGCCATAGGATCCTACTTACTGTCTAGTGATCAAGGATCCATCTTTGTGAAGATGGGCTAATCTAGCCAGGTTTTCAGCCTCTTCCATAGTCTTCTTTTTACTGAAGTTGTAAGCCTGCCATCAGGTCTCAGCCAACTATATTTGTAAAGCCTTAATCCTAAAGGTTAGTGCGATGGTGGATACATCCTTGGCAAGGCAGCAGTTGTATCTTCCCATAACCAAGCACCTGTCCTTCCATCAATGAGATGAGTTTTTCACTTATATGTGTGATATGAAGAAGAAAGACAGGCTGTGTTCATACAACCCACTCAATCATCCTTCTATGAGTGCTGATATTAGTTTTAGTGCTGCTGCTATTGCTCTATCTTTAAAAGCAATAGCATTTACTATATGTAATATTTTTAAGCTATTAGAGCTGAAATGATTGTGAGCCATCTGGGAAGTAATATAAATAAGCCAATAAAAACATTCCTTGTAAGAATGTAAGTATACAAAAGTGAAAAGAACATGATCTAACTAAAGCTGCACTGGTTTCAAAAGGAGAACTTTAAGCCCTTGCCAATGTATTCTGTTCAATGAGATTTAGGATTTTTGTCATATATCATTGCCATGATCTAGCAAGATGATTAATGAATTAAAACAGACACTGCTATATATGAGACTCTACAGTCAAATAAAGTTTCAGTGCATTGTTATGAGGGAGTTAATTGCCTTGGAAATCAGTTGGGATTTAATATGTGGACACCTAAGTTACAGATTTGTATAAAATATAATAAATTATTGCTATTTTCAATCTGAAATTACCAAAGGCTCAAAGCAGATAATACATTTTAAAAGAGGTAGACAATGCATAATCAGTTAAAAACCAAGTCTTGCCTAAATTTGTCCTACCATAATGTAGGGGAGAATAGGATCACCATTGGAAGCCTCTTCATTCAGGTAGTAGGAAAAAAATGCCATCATCGTTATTCCTCTGTTTTTGGATCTATAACAGCATTGGAGACTAAAAGGGACATATCAGGATTGGATCAATGGAAGTTTAAATCTACTTGATTCTAAAGTCTCCTGTTTCTGATAAAAAGGAGAAATTATGCTAATCCTGGAGTTCACATGATTAGTCTTCCTCTAATTGGAAGCAATGGGTGGGAAAATAAAAACTAAAACATGGATGACTAATAACTTTGAGAAAACCTCTCTCTCAGAACTACTACCTTCATTTTTTGTCCTGGCTGGCTGAAAAGCTGCCAAGCTGGCCATTCTTCTGCCATAGATTCTCCTGCCCTCCAGATTTATTCTATCAGGACATTATTAGTTTAAAAACTCTATGTAACTGATTAATTCCTGAAATACTGACCACTGTACTAATTCCTAGAACATTATTAAAACATAAAGCCAAATATTTCTAAACATTACTGCAATGATTACACCATCTATATTTTATTAATTGGACTCAACATAAAAAAGCCACATTATATAGAAGTTAGCCAATCTCTCCAGTCAAATGTTTAAGGGCTTCCCATGATAAACTGATCATAGAAGGACTTCTTTATGTTAAAGTTATCTTCCAACTGACCAATCTGCTCTGACCAAACTGGGTTTTGTTGATGTTTGTTGTTGTTTTCATGAAAAAGTGCTAAACTGGCTGCTTCCCAGCAAAATAGTTTGCCAGAAGCCAACATTTTATTTTTCCAGCAAAAGCCTTCCATGTTTGAGGAGGATGGAGAAGAGGCAACTCTGTGAAGAAAAAGAATTCTGTAACACAGCTCAGCCAGAAAGAGCATCTGATTTGACATTCTGATCCAAGCAGAAGGTATGTGTTTGAGCTCTAAATGGCTGAGCAACAGTCTTGGTGGATTAAAAGAAAAACTCTCTCAGATTCCACAGGGTTTCTGCTTCTTAAGCAATGAAATGAACCTTCTTTCAGCCACAGGGAATATTTAAGCTTCTTAATTATATTTTGTTAGTGGTCATCCGTTTAGATGCCATACATATGACTATCTTTTCAATAACTGTCCAAACGTAATGACATAATGTCATAAATAAAATTTGCTTGAGCCAAGACTCTGAATAGCAACAGAAAGTATTTTTGATCCCAGAGCTCACGCTAAAAAAATCTGAAGTGAATTATTACTGCATCTGCATACATCTCTCCTCTTTTAAAAAGATACCAACTCAGCCCTTAGTAGCATTCTTTACATTTGTTGTCTGGCCACTCTTATTGAGACCCTGAGACACATTAACTGAATCTTAGCAAAGGGAACATTGTCATTTATATGGTGTGCTAAGATAAAATGTATGATCAGAAGCAAATGGTAGAAGACTATCATTTCAGGATGCAGATGAAAAGTTTGAATGTTTTTCAGGGGACAACTTCCCTTTCTTCACATTCAAAACAGTGAAATTGGAAACCTCCTTTTATACTAGTATTTTTATGTGCAAGAATTTAATTCAGAAGAAGACTCACCAACATTTAGCCCCCCAGAGTAGTTCAGTCCATGAACAGATACCATCTGTTTACCTATGCTGTACCTTATAAGATTAGCATACAATCTGCTGCCTACTTTTGCTTTTAGGTAGTGATTTATAGAGTCAAGTTCTGAATCTGGCTCTCTTATAATTTGAATTTAAAATGTTTGCTTCATTTTAAATTGCTCCAGGGAACTGGAGAAAAAAAGTAGACATGACCACAACCTGAATCAGGAGTTTGGTACTGTTGGAGATCTGCCATGTTGGTCATCACTCTCCCCCGCAAAAAACCTGATCCTGACCGCACCCTTCTTATCAAAGCTGAGGCCCTTTTTCTTCCATTTTTCTTCCAATGCCCGTTCATTTGTTTTCTCCAGGCATGCAAACTGGGACAAAATGCATTAACAATGATGTGCAAACTAATTTTACTACCAGCATTTTTTCACTACAATGTTAGAAATGATCAGTGTTCTTTCAAAGGTGTATCCTACTAAACTACAATATTAGTATCATTTATGATGCATTAGAAATCTATAAAGAAGCCATAAAGAAGAATGAAGAAGCCATGACAGTGATATTGCCTTTTTTTTAAAAAAAAGTAGTATCAGTAGTGATGAAAAAAAAAAGGATCTAACATGATACTATGTAGAAACCATGGCAGACGTTGGAATCCTATTCCAGCATTTACAGCTCTGAATATGGGAAATCCAAAGATGTCAAAAAGACATAATAGAAAACCCACACCTTTTTTGCAATATGTACCAAAACATTTACAGTATTAGCTTCTGAAAAAGCAAACAACAATTTGGCCCTTTTTTTAAAAAAAATATGTATAAACACAGATGACTTTGTTAAAATAGCATGGTATCACAAAAAAATTAACAAAGAAACCCACAACAGAAAATTTGGTTAACAAGATAACTTGAACAGCTATTTTCTGTTTTCAGTCCCTATAAAACTAAAAATAATAATGACCAAAACAGAAGTTTGTTGCTACAGGAGCATACAAAGCTTCTTTAAACACTTCCTTACATGAAAGGCAAATTTTGTAACAATAGATATATTTCAATCGATTATTATTATTATTATTTGCTTGAAGGTACCAAAAGTGGTTTGAGAGAAAACTGTGGCTCTCCTTTGTAAAACAGTCTAAGATATACATTTGGTGAATTAATATGAGAAGTCTCTGATTTTTTTTTAAGCACATGGCCCTCAAAAATAAAGAGCTACGTTCCAACACCTGTAGAGAGAGACACAGAATTGATATCTATTACTTAAAAAAAAAAGATCATTTATTGCTTCAATTGCTGTATCAGTGAAAGGGAAACAGGGGCATGTTTTTAAGAGAAGTCTCAAGAGGGACAGCCCTTTGCAGATGGTATCTCACGCTTAAGTACTGTGCTCTGTAATCTGAGCTCCCTCAATAAATCCTTCCCAATAAATCCACTGAGATCTTTAAATTGACTCTGCAGAAACAGAGGGTCTCACAAAATTATTGGAACGTTGTCGAAACTTAATCTGGAGATAGCGCCGGACTGTGCATATTTTAAAGCTGCAGCAGTGCAAGCAGCCCCACAATATCACAATAATTAAAGGGAGAGAAATGTCTGTGCTTTCAGTCAGGCAGAGATATGTTTTTTCAAAAGTCCAAACAAGATATCATGTAGCAGACTGATTTGTTTAAGTGTGGATTTGCTTCAAGGTGAGCCAGTTATAACTACTTATAAAGTGGATGGTCAGGTTCTTAAAATAAAAGTGGCATTATCCTATTGCAGGGGTAGAGGGCCAGTGATAAAGGGCTGGCCTGGGAAAACGATGAAATGTGGGAAGTGCCTAGGAGCCAAGTCCGCACAGGTGGTCCTAACAATGAAATGCCGTTCATGCCATAGGCTACAGAGACAATTCAAGTGATCAATACAACTTCTCCTTAGATTATGGGGTTGGTGTACACATTTTCCCCCCACCAGTGGCTGAGCTTTTTGATGCTTGGTGGACGAGGTGGTTCCCACAGTGATAAGAAAGCTAACAGCTGTTCCCAAAACAATATGCAGGCACAGGCTGGCCTTCCTTCTCCAAACAGACAAGCACTTTCTCTCTTGCATCCAAAAAGCACAAGACAGAAAACAAGACTTAAAGGCTTTGAATTACCTATATACTGTTATTAGAGAAATCTGTCCTCAATCTTTCATCCATTGCCAAGCTCTTATCCCAAAGTGAAACTGGTCGAAAAATTAGGCTTTCTATGAGGAGAGGGTTAGGAGAGGTCAGTAAGTATGGGAAAGGTTTAGCTCTACTTACCCACTTGCCTCCTTATGCATTAAACAGTGGACCCTTAACTTCATGTATAATCTCATGCTATCACTACTGTACTTAATGTAGTTCTGCCTAATTTCTTGCTCCGCAGTTCTGTTTGTCTGCACTACCAATGATGCAACTTGCAACAGATGTATAAGGGGATGACATTGCTTAATTCCACACTGTTTAATTGGCCAAGTAATACATTGTAGACTGGCTCGATCTATTAATAGTACCTTTTTTGTAAGCTGTTTTTATAGGCTACTATTAATAGACTGAGCCAGTCCAAAATGTTTTATTTCGTCAATTAGAAAGGTTTATACCTTTACCAAGTGGAATGAACATCATCATGGAAGATTATACAGCTATTTGCTTACTATGTCATCTCTTTGTAAAGATATACTAAAAATCAATAAGAGGAAAAAATTACTTGCCAAACTGATACAGTCCCAACAAATCAATGACCTTCAACCAATATAAATGATTCCTTTGCAGTGCAAACTCACATGTATTTACATAGAAGTAGGTCTCACTGAGTTTAACAAGGCTCGCTCCCAGTTAAATGTGCATAAGATTACACCTTATAACTTTTCAATAGTTTACTAAAGTCTGGTTGCAAACAAAAAAAGAAAAGAGAATTCAGAAATACTTGAATCCACAGTCAATGGGATTTGGTACCACTTATGCTTACAATAAGAGCAGAAATCCATGGCTGGCCTAATCATTCACTTATGTCAGAGTATCCACATATCTGTTAATAAGACCCTCTGTGAAGTCAGTTGGCCTACACCATTAGCACACTTCTAAAAACAGTGGATAAAAACGTTTCAAATTACCAGCAGTTGCATCATTATGGATTATTGTTTTAGCATTGCTAGCTCTCTCTAAATATGATGTTGCTCCCAGTGGAATACTGATTAAAATAGGAACCAGATGTGCTTTCCATGACTAGATTGAAAAAAAGATAAACAACTATAGAAAATCAATTCAAATAAAGAAGAATGCCTTGAGGGTGTTTCTCAAAACGTGAGGTGGTTTGGGTGGCAGCAGTGACTACGTGAAGTATTTCAGAAGGGTGGAGCAGGCACTGGAAATAGGCTAAAAAAAAAAAATCTTCCCCTCCCCTGTTTAAAATAGGAGGTGGGGGGTTGCTGAGACCACCAGGAAACATATTCTGATTGTAATCTAAGAGCCAAATTAGCTACATCTTAAACATAGATGCCACTATAATGAATGCTAGGGAAGACTCCCTATGAAATACCCCATGAAGAAGTTTCAGATTTGAAACTTCAAAGGTAAAGCTGATCCAAAACTGCTATTTATCTAGGAGAGCAGTACAATCTCTGGTTAGAAACTATGCACTATAAACTGGCAATTTTCAAGGTATGGCTCTTTGGGCTAGAAAGCAACACCTAATGAAACAAGTAAATGGCAACAAATTCAAAGATCCAATAGGTATGTTGGACTATAATCCACACAATTCCCAGACAGAGTCACCTGCAGAGAACCAGAGAGATGCTCTAAGATGGTCAGAGATGTTTAATCATGGGAGTTCAAAATATGATCTTCGCGCTACTGGAAAAGAGATTTGGGTGACATCATTGATATGCTGTCCTTCTCAGTTCAGGCTTGGTAAGAAAGGTTTATTTTGTTCCACGAGTTTGTGAAAAGCCCTCTACCCACACCAAAGGATGCTCTACAGCAGACCAAAGTGTCCATCCTACAAACCCAGCTTGAACAAGAGCAGCAAGAAGGTATTTTTCTCCTACTTAAAAAAAAAGTTTCTGAACTCCACCAGACTATGAATTTTGAATGTCCAAAATATCAGGTATTTGGGGGGGGGGAAAAGTATTATTTTATTGGACTCTGATCCTGCCTGCCTTTTCACCCCATTAAGAATGCCAGAAAATGTATTTTGTAATATATCCATCAAGGAAATACCAACATTTCCACATGTGCAGCTTACCATCAATGTGTTTGCTGAATGGACAAAATTCTCCTTCCTGGTTTGTGCTTATAAGAGCAATCCTTGGCTTAAATGAGGAAAAAAGAGTTTGCCCAAGCCTCCTTTTCATGGGGCATGGATGTGCTTCCAATTGTTTCCCTTATTTGGGGTAATTTATTACTAAAGAAGTATAAACAATTTAGAAACCCTACCTTAAAATGCTGGCAGTGTACTGGAATCCCACTGTTTCTTGTCATCAACACACATCCTACATGCCAAAGGCTAAGGCAACTTTTTCACAGCTTCTCTTGGAGTCACACTAATCCTTGATACTAATGAATCACAAAAGATTCTCTTTTTGTGCAAGGTCAGGTACTTTATGGTTCTAAGGCAGGAATCGTCAGAGCAAAAACATTTTTGGGAATTCAAGGGCTACAGTGGGTGATGCAATGATTTCCAATAAATGGGACTGTGCAGTATGATGGCAGATCGTGCATCTGCCGCAGGGGGTGAGGTATGCTGGCACCATCATGCAAACGCCATGACTTGCATACTTGTATCAGATGTCACGAGGCAAGTACATAACTGTGGCATTTGTGGGTTGAACTGTTTGCCCACCCTGTTCTAAACTTCACACATAATCCTGAGGTTACTTTTGAAAACCTTTAAAAAATAATCAGTTCAGATCTCTACCGAGACCCAGGAAAGGGGGAAGGGAGGGAGGGGGGAAATGGTTCTGCCTATTTTTGACTGGCCCCACCAAGAACAAAGAGATAGGAGGGACTGTAATCCTCAACAGAGAAAACAGTCTCTATTCCTGCCTTAACTGAATACTTCTTAATTTTGTTTCAGTTTTACAATTTATATCCTGTCTCTCTGCTTTATGACTCTCAGTGGTGTCTGTAAGAAATTCATGCATTTCTCCCAATCCTGCCCCTATACTCCAGAAATGAAAATGTGATCAGCTCAATATAGTAATACATTTAACTAATGCAACCAGACAGTTAAAAAGCAACAAAAATATTAATAAAAACTGCATGAAGTCTGTGCTGTGACAAATCTTTCAAGGCAAAATGTATACATACTAAATGGTTCGCTCAATTTCTTTAAAATAATTCTGCACTTGGAAAAAACATACCTGTATTTGCTTGGTCTTAGGCTGCATTTTCCAGCAATCTTCTGAACTCAGAATTAAGCAAATTAAATGTTAAAAATCTCACCCCATTATTAAATTAAATGGCAGGCAGGAGATGGCACTCCCAAAAGTCAAGGATGGGACAGGTCAAATAGTAAAACTGATATTTTAATGTGCATTTATATTTTATTAAAATTAAATAAACATGATTACCCTCCCATCACCTATTTGATTAATTTCTCCCTTTTGCTACATTAAAAGTTACAAGGAGGTAACAATTTTCAGAGATCTCTGGGGTGAACCAAAGGCTTTTGGACTCTATACCTTCTATACCCATGGATGCCTCATGCAGGCTTCAGCTGGGCCATCTGGCTTTCACAAAGGTATAAATCACAGACAGGAATTCAGTGACATAAGCATCCCCAAAGTATGCCTTCATTCAGAACCTGAACTTTTTGATGGAAAGCATATTTCCCTTACACAGTTCATTTGCGAGGAGATGGGGGGGAATTTGCAATGGAGCATCCATTTGTAGGACAACTGGATATATAACTTGACTTTTTGTTGTGAAAATTTCCTAAATACAAAAGGAAAAAAGAGAGAGTTGTTTTACCCATTTTAAACCATGAAACAAACTGGGAGGTATACATATGGAATTGTTAACTTCTGTTTTTATAAAACACTATTGCTTTAGCCACACTAAGCAGAAAAAATATCACATGGTTTCATTTGTCAAGGAAGGGTGAGGACACAAAAGGAAGGAAGATTAACAGACTGATTCTAGTGAAAATTAAAACAGGCACATGACTGTCATTAAATGAAGTCTGCCAATGAGGTCTGTCTTCATTCTTCAGCTTTCCTAAAACTTTGTATGGAAAAAAGACTATGAATTTGTCTGGTAAGTTTAACAAGAATCTTCTCAGGAACTTAAGTTTCTTTCAGGCCAAACATCTTGCTACATTCTTTGCAGAAAAGAGAGGCGAATTTCAAGCAGGAGCATGAAATTCCAGCCGATAAAAATCTAGGAATCTGGGCAATGATATACCAAGTTGGTTTAGCTTTGGCAGGATTAGTATTTTTAATTTTTACTGAAGAGTAATCTATACAAAAAAGAAAATAACTAAACAAGAATATACAAGGCTGTGGAAGGAAAAACAAAGAAAAAGAAAGGTCACTGTTGACCAAACTCACCCCAAAATTGTTTATAATTCCCATATATCATAAGAGTTAATGAGAGCAAATCTATTGTGATTAACCTAATCAATATTATCTGCCCATATTTGATAAAATTGTGATTCTTGCCTCTGAAGATTCATTATTTTAAGATTATTGGTAATTTCTAAAAATTGTGCCTGAGTCAGTTTTTGACTTCTGGCCACTGCCTGGACAAGCCCCTGCAATTTTCATGGCAAGGTTTTTCAAAAGTGGTTTGCCACTGCCTGCTTCCTAGGGCTGAGAGAGAGTGACTGGCTCAAAGTCACCCAGCTGGCTTTGTGCCTAAGGTGGGACTAGAACTCACGATGTCCCAGTTTCTAGCCTAACCACTACACCAAACTGTTTCTGTCTGAAAAAGGTTTATTAATCCACAAATCAACTGTTAATTTTTCAAGAAATTTCCAACGTTGAGCCAGAATATATATAATCAGTTTTTTATTTTTAAGTGTAGCACTGGATTCTATATCGAAGTGTAACCGCCCTAGCTCAGGAGAGTAAAAGGTTTATTAATCCACAAATCAACTGTTAATTTTTCAAGAAATTTCCAACGTTGAGCCAGAATATATATAATCAGTTTTTTATTTTTAAGTGTAGCACTGGATTCTATATCGAAGTGTAACCGCCCTAGCTCAGGAGAGTACTCAATTCTTTAGTGAAATAATACAGATTCACTAAACATTTCCCACCAAAAGAGTGTTATTTTATTGCAACAATCAAAATATGGTAAAATGATCCTTTCAGTCTTTCAAACATTTTGAAGAATTATTTGGTAATATATATGTTAATCTAACCAGGGTTAAGTGTCATCAATGTAACACTTTTTAGTGCAACTCTTGGAT